TTTAACGAAACTTTTTGGCGGTAATACAAAGCGGTAATCCAAAAATATCCGCCAAAACAAAAAAATCCACCGCTGAAAAAAGGCAAAAGGGGATTCGCATCTAAGAACGACACACAGGAGTCTAACTCGAAGCTAGATTTTCTCCGCAGCCTCTTCAGAACACGAAGCATCCAGGTTTTTTTAATTCACTCTTTGATTTGATTATTATCAACCATGACATAGTGCAATTTGATGATTAAACGGATGTGAACAAAAAATCAAATACAAGTAATTTCAATTACATCTATTGTAAGAGATCTATGCTTCGTTCCTGTTTTTCACAAAAGTAATTTCAATTGTAATTTTATTTTCTAATTACAATTACTCCCGACTGGCCGGTTTTTAACCGCACAGGCCAGGTTGTTTAATTTAGAACCGGGTAGGGATTAGGCCATTAGCTTTTATGCTAAACACATGCTTTTCAATTACTGATTTTTTGTTCCTTCTCCAATTGAAGTAATCATAGTATTATTTCAGATTTTTCTTTTATGTTAAACGGATGAGTTTATGGTGAATTTTGATTCTGGAATTACTTTCTACGTTGATTGTAATCATAGTATGATTTCAGATTTTTATATTAATGGTTAGATATCATTAATAATTCTTACATTTGCACTTTATTTGTTGTATGGTTCAAATCTATTTACTTTTGTTGGCAAAAGCTCTCATTATTTAAGAAATGTTCTCTGGAGCTTTGCTTCTAGGAATGACATGAGTCATGCTAGTTTGTGCTCCAACCTAGTTATTATTTGAGCTTTGCTTTTACGTTCTGTTTAAAAATGCATTATGTATGCATTACATTACCTTTTTTCCAGTTCTACTCTTGAAACAGGTGGGCTGTTTATGTTAATGAAATATTGATATGAAATATTGATTTTCTACATAGATGGAGCCAACATCGCATCCCTTTGTGCATCATGAAAATCTCCAGAAAGAGACTGAAGTAACTGATCTCACTTCTCTTTACGGTAATGCTTCACACATCAACTCACAGCCATCCATGTCTACATCTAAACAATACGGTCCACCAAACATGCCTTTTAATCCTAATTTTATGATGAATCCTTCATTTCATCATCATTCTCACTCACCTTTTGGATATGGATTCTCTTTTCAAGACCTTTTACACTCCCCTAATATTTCATTTGAGAGTCCTGTTACCAAAACAAATGGAGGACTAGATAAGAGTAACAAGGCCACACAAAATACGCGTATGCCGCACGCTGTTGGAGGTAGCAAAAATTGGAGCAAAGATGAAGATGTAGCACTAACAAGGGCATGGCTATATATTTCTGTTGATGCTGATGTTGGTAACAATAAAAAAATTGCTAAAATGTGGAATCGTATACAACAAATTTGGAGGGAGAATATGGGAACTTATGATGAGTCGCGCACAACAAATAGCTTACAATGTCGTTGGAATAAGATCTTAGCCGCAGTTAATAAATTTCATGCAATATATGAACGACTACAAAGAAATCCAAAAAGTGGAGCAAGCCAAGAAGATATGGTAAACAATACTTTCAATTCTTTGTGTTGTTAAATTTTTAATCTTATTTCAATTTAAATATGATGATAAAAAAAAATTACTATCTGCCTTGATTTTAAATTGTGATGTTTGAGTGTGTGTGTGTGAAAGAATTGATTTTTTATTTGTAGAGGCGAGAGGCATTGCGTATGTACGAGGATCTTAATCAAGGTCAATCTTTCAAACATGAGCATTGTTGGGAGATCATGAAAACAAATGCAAAATGGTGCACGAAGGAGGTTACTAGGACCAAAGATTTGTCCAAGCAAAAAGCTACCAATGCAAGTGATCATACCCAAGTATCAACTCCACCAATGAGTTCAGGTGATGAAGACCAAAACGGTATCAATCTTGGTGCTACTAGTGATGATAAATGCAGTGACATTCAACGTCCTCAAGGACGAAAAGCTACAAAAGAAAAAAAAAGGAGGCTCAATGATGAAAAAAGTGTCGTTGACGCTTTGAATAAGTTACACACGACGTTGGAAAAACAAGTTTCTGTTAATCAGGAAGAGCTTGAATTGCGACAAAAGGTAGTGCAAAAAGAGTTGGAATTTAAGGAAAGAGCTGAAAGGAGAAAAGAATTGAAGTCTATTTTGAATCAAGATGTCAACAAACTTCCCTTTAGCATGAGAGAGAAATTTGAGATCTACCAATCTCAAATTTTTAAGGAATGGGAAAACAATGGACTATTTGGTAATTATAGATTTTCCTACCATTTCGCATTACTTTCTTTTAGCATTACTAGTTCTGGACAATAATCTATTTAAGAACTCACTACTTTTATAATGTGTGACAGGTGGGAGTAAAAGTTAATGAAGTTCAGCTGTTGATGAAGCCAAGTATTATAACTCAGTGGAATACTGTGGAGGCTATTTGTTTATTCTTTATGTTTTTTGTTTCATTTACTATTCTTGAACACATCCTTTTAATTTTTAGAAGTACTTTTGTTTATGGAATATTAGACAAAAGATCTTGTTTCTGTTAAGTCTGATGCAGCCTTATTTTTGTTAAGTACTTTTGAATATGTTTTTGAATTTTGTTATGCACCACATTTCTTGAAAATACTACATACACAACTAACTTATTGAAAATAATAAATTTAAAATAAAGAATTCTATCAAATATCAAACAAATATCTGAGAAAAATAATTAAGAGTATAACATCAATTATTCAAACAATACTAAACATTAATGAGTATTATAAGACTTTCTTATTAAAAAATATAATATAATATCAGCTTGCTTGTTGACCACCATATAACTCCCATATATGATTGATGAGATCATTTTTTAAATCTCTATGAACTCGTTTGTCTTGAACTTGTTTCATTCTTCCAATCATTCTAGAGACAATAAAATTATAATCACGTTCTAATTCCACGTTTTCAACCCTTTCATCTCCAAGAGGTTGCCAATTTTCAGGATTCATTCCTTGGATACTTTCACTCTCAATGATCATATTATGCAAGATGATACAAGTCTTCATTATCTTCCCCAAATCCTTTTCATTCCACATGCGCGCGGGACCTTTGACAATATGCCATCTACTTTGAAGAACCCCAAAAGCACGCTCCACATCTTTCCTTATTGATTCTTGGCGTTCAGAAAATATTCTCTCTTTAAGAGAAGAAGGGTTAGAGATAGACTGCATTAATGTAGCATATTGTGGATAAATTCCATCAGTCAGATAATACCCCATATCATAGTGATGACCTTGCACCACATAGCTACATGGTGGTGAAATGCCATTAATAATATCATCAAACAGTGGAGATCTATCTAATACTGTTATGTCATTATTAGTACCAGGCATCCCAAAAAATGCATGCCAAATCCACAAATTTCTCGAAGCCACAATCTCTAATATGAGAGTTGGAACTCGTTTAAAACCATTTGTATGTGTACCATGCCAAGCGGTTGGACAATTCTTCCAATGCCAATGCATACAATCAAGACTCCCTAACATACCAGGAAAACCTCGCCCTTCTGCTTCTTGAAGCAGGTCCAAAATATCTTTTTTGTTTGGTTTTCTCAAATACTCTTGTTCAAAAACACTTATCACAGCATCACAAAAATGCTTAAGGCTTTGAATTGTCGTGCTCTCCCCAATTTGAAGATATTCATCCAAAAGATCAGCTGGACAACCATACGCAAGCATCCGCACTGCAGCTATGGTTTTCTGTAAAGGACTTAATCCTTCTTTTCCGGTGGCATCAAACTTTAAAGAGAAGTAACTATCATTTTTTTCGATTGCTTCCAAAATGCGAGTAAATAGTTTCACATCCATTCGGAATCTTCTACGAAAATGATCTGAGGTATACTTTGATTGATCACCATTGAAATAGTCTTTAATAATTACCTCATGACGTTCCTTTCTATCACGATGAATATAACGCCTCTGACTTGTTGTACCTCCATTAGCATGCTTTTTGCCTCTTAACATTGTTGAAACTATTATAGAAACATGGACGGTAGTGGTATGAATCAAATCACGACTCATTTTTGAACTACTGTCATCTTCTTTTGACAGTTCACCATATAATTTATTCGTCAAGGAGAACACATCACAATCAGATGATGAGCTATCACTATCAAGTTCCGACTCTGAAGAAGACATTACTATATTATACCTGTAAGATAAAAGAAAACTATAAGATTAAAAATTATTTCTTATTTTTGTAAGATATATGTTGCTTCATATTGAAAATATTTTAATCTTTTAAGCATAAAGCATTTAATATAATTTTATGCTTAAAAGTCATATTGAAAATATTTTTTCCTTGGAACTATAGAAACATAAAGCACAAACGTGTTTAAGCATCTAACTTTTAAACATGTCATATAATGTAGGGCAGATACTATAGAAGCAATAACACCTTAATCATTTATCTGCTAACGATACTAGGTTTAATTAGCTGCTGCTCATCACAATTGTGAATACATGTTGTGCTAACGATCGTACATGAAATCACTACCGTTTTTATATAATCAAAACCCAACGACTGAAAATATTCATCAACAAAGAACTGGGAATTTATATAAAACATTAAATTAAAGCGCATCAGTAAAATATAGATATAAACATATGTACTCCGTATATACATAAAGATGAAAAAATTCAAACGATGCTGACAGTAGTTAACTGTCAGGGACACCGGAGAGAGCAAAGATATATACATAAAGATGAAAAAAATTCAATATCATATAAAGAAGACGGACCTGCGGCTCTTTTTTCAGATGATGCCTTTGGAAAAAGAAGGCGGTACGGCTGAGTTCAGTTATATGATGTGGCATATGGATAGGAAAGAATTTAACAAATCCACTACACTGTTGGGCCGTAAAAATTATATTAAAAGTCTGTGTGTCCACCTCAACTTCATGGGCTGTCTATATATGTGACGTGTCCACTTTTTATGGGGTGCAATCCACACTCCCATTAAAGATGCTCTTAGACATCCTGTTTGTATCCATCTTTACCATAGCTCGAGAGACTGGAGTAAATTTAGTGAGGTGTGAGCGATTTCCAGAGAATGTGGCGACATTGCAGGAAAGTGAGCAGCAGCACATCTACTGCCAAACCCGACCTCTTGTTGAAGGACAACAAATGGGACGCTCTGGTGATTGGCGGTGGCCATAATGGCTTAACTGCCGCCGCATACCTCGCTCGCTCTGGCCTCTCCGTGGCCGTCCTCGAGAGACGCCACATTATCGGCGGTGCTGCCGTCACCGAGGAGATTGTTCCCGGCTTCAAATTCTCCCGTTGTAGTTACCTTCAAAGTCTCCTCCGCCCCTGTGTCATCAAGTAACTCTCTTCCCTGATATCTATTGCACAAGATCATTTGTAACGCAGCAATCGCAGTCTATTACTAGTATAGATAAATAGACAATGTATGGTTATAGTTTGTCGTCAATGCCTTGTTCAATTCCTGGTTTTCTGAGTGTGGTTTTGTTTTTACTGGATTAATAGAGAACTAGAGCTGAAGAGACACGGGTTAAAGCTATTGAAGAGAAATCCGTCATCTTTCACGCCATGTCGCGATGGACGCTATCTCCTGCTTGGTAGCGATAAACAACATAACTATTCCGAAATTTCTAAGTTCTCAGAACGTGATGCCAAGACTTTTCCAAGGCATGGTTTCTCTTTATGCATGGCCTAACGTGATAAGCATGTCTATACTGGGTTTCTTTGTTAAAATGTTTTCATTTTGATTGATCACTGGCTGAAGCGGATACTAGATCTTTTGTACACCAGTAGTAGTGCACTAGTGTGCAATGTTTAGTTTAGTACTTTAGTCGAGTGGAAGATGAAAATGATTATCACTTTAATTACTTTTATTTTTGTGTGTTCTGGATATCTGATCTATAGATACGAAAATCAGCTGGACAAGTTTTGCGAATTTTTGGATCCACTTTTAGATTCTTCTACACCTGAGACTCTTCAAGGAAATTCATCTTTTAATGATCGACTCCATAATAAGTTAGAAAGATCAGCATTTTGGTCTCACTGTCTACGACGTGCACTTACATTGGGACAGAACGACATGATGTAAGAGCTCATAATCATAATCTGATTTTAAGATTTTTCTTGAAACCAACCATGCAGTTGCTTATTAACTTGGCTTGACTTAATTTTAGGAATTTTATGGATCTTTTACTCTCTCCAGCATCAAAGATTCTAAATAACTGGTTTGAGGTAGCTATACTTGGCTCTATATTTCACCTGTTTAGGTTTAAAACTTTCAAACTGCATTATACTATTACTGTAGACTTTTCCAAGACCCAGGTTGAATGCTTTTTATAATTAGATTATTCCCATGACATATATTTTTCCCAGTGAAATTGTTTGTTTTGACATCATCATCACCTTAACCATAACTAGTTGGGCACTTGGGCCTGTGCATGACATGTATAGTGTCAGTTAATTGTCTAAAATTAGTTAACGTTGTATATCCATGCAAAAAAGGGAATGCTCTTTCTGTATATTTCAGTTCTCTAACAAATTTCATATATTTCAGTTCTGCAATACATACTCGGAATTTTTGTAGAAGCAGAAAACTCTTGCTCTCTAACAAATTTTCACAGGTTTTTTAACTCAGTGTCACTCCATACTTGCAGAGTGATATTCTGAAAGCAACTCTAGGAACTGATGCAGTTATAGGGACCACAGTAAGTTATTTCATTATCCTTTTTCGAACAATGTGCACCAAGTCTGATGGTTTGTAGTGCTAGCTAATTCAAATTCATGAATAGTTGTATCCTATTGGGGCTATTTGGTTTAGGTATATGAACAACGTATAATGATTTTACTGAAAATATATTCTGTCATGGAATAGTTTCAATTATGTTCCTACGTCGTTGTTTGGGCTCAATATGCTTGGATTAGGATATGCACCCATTCTTTAGACCTGAAGCATAAATGTGTTGTAGGAGATAATTTGATTTCAGTCTTACTACTGCCATTAATTTATTGAAATATGTACTTGTTTTAGATGTCAGGTCACATGTTACATTCTAAAGTAGTCACTTGTGCATAATCCTTGGATGCAGTTATGTAAAAAAATCAACATGAAAGTTTTAATTTGTTCAATCACAGGCAAGTGTGCATACACCTGGAAGTGGATATGTCTTGCTACATCATGTGATGGGGGAAACTGATGGTGACCGTGGTATTTGGTCGTACGTATTTTTGGAGACAAGACAACATAACCGCACAAGAAGATTATGTCAAACATGTATCATGCTTGGGGTTTAAGATTTTTCTTTGATCTTATGTATTCAACACACCACAAGCATAGACATTTATTTATTAAATTTCATATACTTGCTAAAAACATTGAAACTTATTTGAATCTTTTGGCATTTCACTACCATTTCTTGGTCTTAATTTTGGACAGACTCTAAGTATAAGCAAAAGTATGGTTCATGTTTTCTGCTATTACTCAGTTAAATAAATGGTATCCACTATTTTACTTTTAGATATGTTGAAGGAGGAATGGGCTCAGTGTCATCGGCCATGGCTGATGCTGCTAGAGAAGCTGGTGCAACTATACTGACCAGTGCAGAGGTATTTGCAGATTATTGCTTCAGCTGGATACATCTTCTTTGATAGTACAATAATGAAGTTTTACTTGTTTGTTGAGTCATGAGTGCTTATTTGCTTGGCCGAACAGATATATTTTAGAAAGATGATACTAAAATTTGAATACCTTCTTATAGAAAAGATGAAATCATGAAATGCATGTTAGGGTGTTGGACCTTAGGACCTTAGGTGAGTTACTCGAGTGTACTGGTGGAAATTTAGAGTGTTCACGTATTCATGCCTATGTGAACCATTTATAACACTTCGGGTTCATCTAATTTTCGAGTTTTTTGTTTTGTTTTATCATGCAGGTCTCAAAGTTGATAGTTGACAATACTGGTAGAGTAACTGGGGTTAGACCATCTCCATCAATGCTCCCTTTTTTTCTCCAACTCATTTGATATCCATTTTAACTAACAATTTTGTCAAACACAACTCCAGTCAATACTATCTATTTTTATCTGTGAATAAATATTTCAGTAGTTTCTCTTTCCTACTTTGCCTAATTAAATTTTATGCAACTTCATCTTCTTTCTTCCACGTGTAACTAGGCCGGGTATAATAAAAAATTATTATTCTGATTCCTGATCAAAATATTTATCAGAGGTTCTGTTTGGTGATGGAAAAAATGATTCCCTTAGCAATTTCTAGATCTTTTTACACTTTGGAAATGCTCTTGGAGTTACTCTTAGTGTTCTTTCATTCTATCCCTTCTTAGGTTTGTTTTCCTTTGTGAGTTGAGCTTATGATTACGATATGACTGGCATTGTCTAGGTGTTGTTGGCTGATGGAACACCTGTCTATTCTTCAGCAGTCTTGTCAAATGCAACCCCTTACAAGACTTTTATGGTATAGTTTTTTCTAGCTCCATTTGGATTCAAGTTTGAGATTCCTGCTAGTAAAGGCCTTGACATCTTACAACCTAACTGATTGTATTGTTCAAAGTGATAGTTTTTTATTACGCAGGATCTTGTACCAGAAGATGTGCTTCCTGAAGATTTCCTCCGTGCAATAAAGCTATCTGATTACAGCTCTGTAAGTTTATATCAGCTTGTTAGATATGATTTTATTTATCACAAAGTGTACTGCACTCCATGTCAAAGGACAAAGAAAAAGGTTCAAAACATTACCTTGTTGTTCCAAAAAGGTGGAAGCTCCCACCCCAGGAGCCCCCACACCTCGACACGATAGAATGGTGGAGGAGTAAGTCAGAGTGACTTAGTCGGTCCAATGGTGGTAGGCCTTATACCCGTGTGCACTAGAGGTCCAGCCCAGCACGCAAGAGCTGTAACCTCCACACGGCCGCTGCGGGTTTCGAACATTGGTCATTGTTCCAAATTTTCCCCTACTGAACCAACTGAGCTACCCGTGCTGGTAGGTTCAAAACATTACCTCTTTAGCTTGGATGGTTCAACTTGTACATCGATCCCGCCTTTTTTGTGCTTGTATAATTTGAAGTATGCAAGGTTTCAAATATTAATCTGCATGCTAGTGCATTTCAATAAGAGAACATATTAAGACTAAGGGTTGTTTACTAGCTGGAAACATTTTTCATGTTCTGGGAAACCTGAAAATGGAGGATGAAAAACATAAAGCATGATTACTTTCCCAAATTCAGAAAACAGAAAACATCTTCCAACTGTTCTCTATTATCCTAAATGTGGAACTTTTGTTTATGTTTTCCAAAATATAAAAATATGTTTTCAAATTTTGAACCTATCAGTATTTGCAAACTGAAAAGAACTCTATAGCCATGTCAACCACTATCTACCACCTTCGGCACCATTTCCCACTGACAACCACCACCATAGAGACCATCACTACATTTGGAAATGGCGGCCTTCACAGGTTGCAATCAGAAACCACCTCTACCACTAGGAATAAAGAACATTTTATGTAACCACCACCAACAGTAACCAATGCCACAGGAGCACTACCACCGCCATTTCTGCTAATGGAAACCACCTTCCTTTCTAGTTCTTACAATTATTTACATGAGTTCATCCCAACCACAAGTAATCACTGCCAATGCCAGAAACCATTGTCATCTCCTGACACCATTGCTATCGACCACCGAGAACCACTGCCAATGCTGGTCATCGTTGGCGATCATTGGTCCATTGCTGCCACAGATAACTACATGTGTCTCTGGTAAGCACTGACATTGTCGACACTCACCTCCACGGCATTGAAATATTGTTACTAACTTACTACCGCAACCCACCTACTGGTAATCACTGTCACCATTGGCAATCACATCCATCAATGTCATTGTGGACCACAAGAACTGTTTCTATTTGTTTTGTCCTATCATTTGTTGTCATTCTTTAACCTGAAGTATAACAAGAATTGGTTGATGAGGCAGGCAACTACCAAAATCAATTTGGCGATTGACAGAATCCCACAGTTCCAGTGTTGCAATTTAGGATATCCTGATGCCGGGCCTCAACATTGCGGCTCCATTCACATTGGATGTGAGAAGTATGCCACTATGCCAGTACTTTTATTTATATTCAGATTTATATTACATGATTTAATTGCTACCAGTGCTTTGATTTATATTACATGATTTATATGTTGAAACACTACCATGATAGAATCTGTACTCTAGTTTGAGTTAAAATCCTCTGTCAGTCATCATGATATATTCTAAAACATGATTGGCCAAAAGCCATTTTGATCAAAAGTTAGATTGGCTGGTGATTTTGGAAGAACTCAACATTGAACATCATGAATGCGTTGTGCTTCACAATATTTACTTGTGTTTCTAGTAACTACCTTCTATGAATGTGTTAACTGTCAGAATATTTTCACCACAGGAAGTGTGTCCATAGCAAAGAGATCTCTATCAATAAAATCTTTTTGCCATCCTTTCTGTCCTGTCTGTAAGACAGTTAAAACTGTAGTTGTCATGACATTGGTCACATGATTTTGATGTTACATTAAAGTTTCATGTATGCCTGATCAGTATTCAATATATGAACAATCAACTTACTTCTTGATCAACTTTTGTGCTTGTCATAAAAAGGTATGTAGCAACCGACTTGCGTGTTATTTGTTTGCTTGAGTGATACATTCATAATTTCAACTTTGTTTCAAGCCATAATGTAGAATGTTCTAGCTCATGAATAAAATAAACATTTTATGGTCCTTCATGTTATTGCAGTTTCGAGGACATGGCCGCTGCTGCACAGGATTCTGGAAATGGATTGCCATCTCGAAGACCTATTATTGAGATGACGATACCTTCTGTCTTTGACAAAACCATTTCTCCTCCTGGTAAATTTTGATATCTTCAATAATAAGTCAGTGAATAACTTGTGTCTTTTCTTGGTGCACCAACTTTTGTTATTTCCAATATATTACTCCATTTGTCCCGTTGGAAGATTCCCGCGGATAAATGGCACGATTTTTTAGGCAAGTGATTAAATAAAATAATTTGGGTAAGAAAGAGAGGAAAGAGAAAATTTTGAAAATGTAAACATATAAGTGAAAGTAATTAAAGGGGGGTAAGTTGGGGGGAGGGGACATTGTGAGACTTGACATGTAATGAGTAGGAAAGAGAAATTTGAGTAAAGGTGTAAATAACTTGTAATTAAAGAGAGTAAATTATTTCGTAAAATGGAATGTGAACCTTTAAATGGGACACCCACATAAGGAAAGTGGGAACCTTTCAACGGGACGGAGAGAGTATAATCTTTCAGTGTTTCTATGTTGCACTAGTGCTGCATTAGTTTATTCATTTTCATTTACCCCAGTGCCGCAAAGGCTCCCACCTACGGTGGGGTAAGGGGGGGTCGGATGTACACAGTCTTACCCCTGTACTAAAGCACAAAGAGATTGTTTCCGGATGACCCATAGTGAAAATCGCGTCCAAAATTGCATGGACTGACAGTTGCTTCATAACAAAGAAGCGCAGACAGTTTAGTGGGCCATTTTGCTTTATTCCATCATAATCTCAAGCCAAAAAATAATGAATCTTTGGCTCCATTTTGCTGCATTAGTTTATTATTGGACAAAAATTAGGAGTAAGATTAATCCACCTTGAATGCTACGTAGTATTTATTAATTCACTTTAACCATGTTAATTTTGTCTATTCAGGCATCTGAGCGATATAGATGTGATAAAATGTTGGATACAGTGTATGATGAGATGAGATAACTGTATTATGTGTATGTATATATATTGTTCCCTTATTCCCTTTGCCTCTTTTGGACATCCTTGTTAAAGGTTCTCATTTCTATTTTAGGAAATAATTAGCACTCTTAAATTACAACTTAATCATCAAATATTAAAAATAATACACCTATAACATCACATTTATCATAAATGACCTCGTTATATTATATACCCATCAAAACCACTTCTCAAAATATACTCAAATAACCTTATTTAATTATTGCCTAAATAATCGTGTCATTTTTCAATGAAAAGCTTAAGCCGGGACGGAGGTAGTACTATTCTTTTCGTGATCTATTTAAGTAGCCTTCTCAGGAGATAACCTCCACGTTACTAGGTTTTATCAAGTTGTATGGCGTTTGATGTCATTTTTGTACTCAAGATTAATGTTACCACACCTTGTACCATAAGATTACAATCCCATAAATATTCTTGAATGTTTGACTTTATAAAGTGGCTTGGAATAATGCCTCTTATACCACATAAAGCCCGTAGCATCTAGTTCTTAATGGATTCAGGCACTCCTGTCAATGCTGTCATCATACGCACATTGATGCTAAAACTGAACTTTCATTCCTCTTCACAGGAAAGCATGTTGTTGGTTTATTTATCCAGTACACACCATACAATCCGTCAGATGGAAGCTGGGAAGATCCTACGTACAGAGTAAGAATGATATCAATCTTAAAACTCTCAGCCATATTTCATCTTTTTTTTTAAACCAATACTTTAGAAATTTGTACCATATGTCGGTTAGTACATGGCTTTATGATATGAGTGTGAATCATTTCTGCAGGAAGCATTTGCAAAGAGATGCTTCAGCCTAATAGATGAATATGCTCCTGGATTCAGCTCATCTATTATTGGTTACGACATGCTTACTCCACCAGATCTTGAAAGAGAGATTGGCTTGACAGGTATCATGTGCATGCTTATCTAGTAAACTGAGTTCAGTTAAATAGCTAAATAAACCTCAGAAATCAGGGTATGGGTGTGAAGATATGTCATGACTTTAGCTAGAGTGTCAATTAACTCCAGTTTTCTTTAGTAATCTCAATCCTTCACTCTTGGACGGTTATTAATAGTCATCCAGTTCACTGATAATTCTCACTCCCTCTCTCAAATTAAATGTCAGTTTTGCAAAACTCTTTCCACACAATAATTGCCATTTTGTGAATAGCATGTTTTTCATTAACTTTTCCTACATTAAAATGTGTTTGTGCATTAAGCTTAACTTTTTTCATTAGCTTCAATCTTTTTGCAAGGTTCCTTAAAATAAGTGCAATTTTCTATAATATGAATAATTTTTGGACGGTCATTTCCACTGTACTCAAAAAAATAATTTTTGGAGGGTTACTTCCATTGTACCCAAAAAATACTCCCGCCATCCCGAATTGTAAGGCACTTTACGGTGTACGATGTTTGACCGACGATAAAGCAAACGGATCCCTGTCCGCACTCAAATTATTTTTAGAAAAAAAGAATTACATATTCAGAAACTATATTAAAAGCTTTACAAAGTCGCAAAAAACAGAATCAAATTTGATAAAAATTTGATATATAAAGTAAGAGATTAGGAGTGATTTGTGTTGACCAAGTGAATAGTAAAAGTATCTTACAAAATGGGATTGAGGGAGTAATTTTTGACTAAGGGAATAATTGGTTTTATTCTCCACTACTTCCTTTTTGCATGAAAATCTCATCTTTTAGGGTCAGAGTTCCCCTCTGTTTTTGGAAGGTTAGTTTGGCTTGTCCATATATGCTTTATAAGCCACCAACTCACAACCTGTAAAATTTAGTTGTATTTGTACCCTTAGAAATTTTCTGAATTTATTTTCATGAATAGTTTACATGAACAAAATTTTCATAGATTATAGCATTTTTATAGCTAAGTTGGGAACTGAGTGTTGGTATAACTGGCATCTATGCTGTCGTTATCGAGTGTTTTAGTGTGTGTTAGGGACCTAGGTAGTATGGGATGCCAAAAGTCCCATGCCGAGTAGAATGGGATGCTTGGTGGGGTTCTTAAGTACTTGGCTCTCCCACCTTAACAACTAGCTTTTGGGGCGTGGCTCTCCAAGGTGCTTAAGTTTCTAACAATGGTATAAAAGCCGGTTGTCAGCAGGCCAAAAAGGGGCTACCGGCAGAGGGTTCTGACCGGCAGATCAGCCGAGTGAAGTGCCGTCGGGATGTCGGCTTTCCGGGGAGGGTGTATTGTTAGGGACCTAGGTAGTATGGGATGCTAAAAGTCTCACACCGAGTAGAATGGGATGCTTGGTGGGGTTCTTAAGTGCCTGGCTCTCCCACCTTAACAGCTAGCTTTTGGGGTGTGGCTCTCCAAGGTGCTCAAGTTTCTAACAGTGTGTATGATATAAAGTCGGTCAAACAAAGTTAGGGTGCCGAGTAGGGTAAACTAGGTTATTACTACCGAGGTTAGGAATGAACAAAATTGTGTAAGTAGGAGACATTAATGCATTGTTAATATACGTAGTACATGGATATTTTGTCTCCATTTGGTAATACATTTTGACTTCTCATGTTGCTATTGGCAGAATAAGTAGCTTTGACTGATTTAGCTGATATTACAATTGTTTTTCTTTCACGAAAAATCAGCTGATTCAATCATTCACCAAGTACCCTTTACCCAACATACATGTTCATTGCCATAACCTTATTTCACTGTCATGCAGAGATTTCAATGCACAAACAAACGTTTCACTAAGTTTTAGTGTGACACGAAGTGAGTCTTACATTCATGCATTTCTCACTTTTGACAGGAGGGAACATATTCCACGGTTCAATGGGGTTAGATTCTTTGTTTCTCATGAGACCCGTAAAAGGATGGTAAGATCAAATGAAGATTTCGTAACATTGGTTATGCCACACATTTGTTTCAAATAAACGCTAGTTGTTAGTGGCTGGTTACATGCATGGTTATCTTATTGAAAAACGTTAACAATGCCCAGGTCAAATTACAGAACTCCACTTCAAGGTTTATATTTGTGTGGAAGTGGGGCCCATCCTGGCGGGGGAGTAATGGCAGCCCCTGGACGCAATGCTGCACATGTGGTCATTCAAGACTTCAAAAATCATTAACTCAAGCTGATCCAGTATCGGACCATGTTACTTTAATAGAAAATGAAAACCAGCGTGCTTATTCCCAGTTTGAGCATCCTTAGGATTCAGTGGTGCATTAGGTACAGGAGGTTAAGAGGTTATATGGAGAACTATGCCCCAAGCCCCTTAGTTGAGTCCATCTCCATCATAAGATGCATTGACTAAGTTTATGCAATTCATTGACATTTTAGTGTTATTTGTGCCACCAGCCCGAACCTGTTGGAACGATGATGAATTGGTTTATTGAATATTGATGGTGTTGGCTCGGCTAATTCCATTGTCTCTCTTCCTTCCCTTTGTGTTTACTAAGAATTTATCTATTCTCAATTAAGTATCCATGACTTTTACGGTTATATTTAGTTGTGTGATAATTTGATAATCATACATTCATACCCCACTGATTTATGAGAATTAAAAGCGCAAACGAAAGTGAAGTAAATTTGAGTAGGATACTTTTATCGGTAGCTAAAACTTGTCAAAACATAATAATCGGTCAGCTAAGAGAACAAGTATGCACAAGAGGTCTTTAGTTTATTGATACTTATGCAAGAACAGGATGAAGTATCAAATACGGAGTACTAATTTCCCAAGCTACAAGCTCAAGCTTCTCGTTGTTATGGGGAACCATCTTCATCTAAATGTTTGTGTTAATTTTAGTTTTTCATTATTTAATACTCTCTTTGTCCCTGAAACAAGTTCATCTTTCCTTTCTTGGCAATCCTAAATTAATTTCTCACTTCCTTACACTTCCTTATGTGACAAATTATCTACATCAAAACAGTGCAAAACAATGTCAAACAATCTCCATACAGTGTTGAAACAGTGCAAACAGTCTCCATACAGTGTTGAAATAATGTCAAAACAGTAAAATTTACTCTTAGTAAATTTAGTTTTTTAATACTACATATTTGTGAAATTCATTTAGGGTCTTGTTTGAGGGACTGAGTATAAACTAGAAGTAGTTTCTTTCAAAAAAGACTAATATGTGGAACTTTTTATGTCGCTTTTTCACTTTCTTCAAATGCGCACTTTTACAGTTACACCTCAATCTGGCCTTTCCTCGTCTGAAGCAACACAAGTGATTAGCCCGCCGTAAGGGTTCCGCCTGAAATACGAAACGTTTTAAAATTTGTGAGCTCCCCGCCGCTAGCCGGAGCGACCATGACTGATGGGAGTAGCCCACATGACGTAGAACATTCCGATGATGAGGTCAATCCCTTCACGATGCTCCTCCCACAGGAAGGAGAAGAAGAAGAAGAATCGAAAGAATCAGTGTCTCTCCAACACCAACGCTACAATCTCCAATCGATCCACTCAACCATTCTCATTAGGCAGCTCCCTTCTCAAGGTCTTTCCTTCCAGCTCTGGCCCGCCGCCGCCACTCTCGTAAACCTCCTCGATGTCCGCCGTCACGTCCACCCCACCCTCTCCGCCTTGTTTGCGCGTCAAGAGGCGGGGAACCGTCTCCGTATACTCGAGCTCGGTTCCGGCACCGGTGTGACCGGAATAGCCGCGGCGGCGATACTCGGCGCCAAAGTCACCGTCACGGACCTACCTCACGTCCTCCCCAACATCCAATTCAACGTTGACTTGAACTCGGAAGTTCTGCAAAACCGCAGAGGCGCTGTTGAAGCGGCGGCGCTATCGTGGGGAGAAATTGGAGACATGGAAGCCGTTGGGAGAGAGTATGATCTGATACTCGGATCTGACGTGGTGTATCACGATCATCTGTATGAGCCTCTGCTGAAAACGCTGAGATTCTTCCTGTTAGGGCGTGGGGAAAGTGAAAGGAAGACGGCCTTCGTGATGGCGCACCTGAGGAGATGGAAGAAGGAATCGGGATTCTTCAAGAAGGCTAAGAAGGTATTCGATGTGGAGATCGTTCATACGGATCCTCCATTGGATGGATCTCGGATTGGCGTTGCTGTTTACATTTTCGTCCCAAAAATTGGTCTTAGCTGACAAAACTGCTTCTGAGTCATTGTTTCATAGCTTCTGATTAGCCTTCCTCCATACTTTTTGTTTCATTCATCGACTGATGCAATGCAGGACATTTCTCCAATTTTTGCTTCAATATGATTCTCAATCTAGATCGAACAAACAGGTGGCCGTGAATTCGGACCACAGATTGAAGAAATTCAATAAATTTGACTAAAATTTGCTTCATAGATTTTTTTTTGAAAGGATGCTTCATAGAAAACTTAAAATCTGTTTTTTATTAAATCAAATAATTGTTGTGAAAAAAGTTTTAAAGTTTGAGTTTTTCTAAAGTATTAAATAAAATTTATACACAAAACTGTGACAAAAATTATTCTGTGCATAATTTCATGATTACAATATTATAAAATTGAAAACATATAAATATTAAAGAAAAAATACTAAGACTCCATTTGGTTTGGGGTGGACCGGGCCCGGGTCGGGCCGGGCCGGGATTGGGGTTTTAGGCTGCAGGCCCGGTACCGGCCCGGGTTTAGATTGGGACCGGTCGGATATTTTTTTTTTAAATTACCCTTTTCACATTCATTCCTACCCCCACCCCCAAACCCGCCAAAACACCTAGCCCAACCCACCTAGCAATTGCCCCAAAACCCCTGGTTTGGGCCTCCAGTCCCGGTTCCGGCCGGCCGGGCCGAGTATCAGGTCGGGTGAACCGGCCCAGTCCATCCCTACATTCGGTACCACTTCTGTTTTTTATTTTTTGTGTGTTTCAGCCCGGAGGAGTACCGTTGACAGGTGCTAGAGGATAGGGATGAAGGCTCGGGTTTCTTAATCACGGATGGTTTGGGGGATGTCCATGGGGAATCTCCTTGTTGGTCACCGTAGGGAACGAATCTAGCGACCTTTGTTCGCAAGAAAAGTAGGGTAGCAAATTGGGAGGTCCGATAATGGCGGGTTGCAAGACAATGCAAGGGTGAGGGCGATAGCTGCAAATTGGAACATTTTGGGCCAAAAAATCGGGATTGGAACGGGGTTCCAGTATACAAGTCCGATAGAAAGCTGGAAGACCTCATTCAGGCAGGAAGAAATCTCTTAGCGAACGATTAAGTGTGTGTGAATGTGTCCTAGAATAAATTAGATCTCTTTTAATTTATTCTACAAGCAATTGTAATTCTAGCCGCGATTCCAGGTTACAAAAGATAGCAGTTAAATTATTCAAACACAAATTAAACGACATTCATGCAATTAAACCATCAAGAATCTAGTCATACATCATGATTAACACCTTCATCAATCCCAAATCCCTAATTAAAACTACTCCCGACTCATAATTGAAGAATCAATAGAATTGATAAGAATAGAAATAATTGTCATTAATTAAAAAGTAAGAACTTACAAAGAATCTCAAAGAATTGAAAAACAAGGTTGAAAAGCTCTCAAAATTCGTCCTTAAGTTGCTCTCTAAGTTCCATCCCCATAAAATAGGGTTAGGGAGGTATTATTTAAAGGAAACAAAGCAATTCGGGTTGGATTAGGACTGAAACGGGGCACACATAGCGCCCACGCACGCGTGCGTGGCGTCCGTGCGTCCGACAGACATGCGCGTAAAATCGTTGGACGCACGCGTGCGTCCCTCCCCATGCACGTGTGTGTGTCTTCCAGTAAGTTTTCCGGCTTCTCTGGTCCGAATTTGACAAAGCTTTCTTCATGAACATTGTAGATAATGAAGTCCTTTATCCACCACAACTTGCTCAATTGGATTTGAATCATCTAATCAAGAGATATAAATAAAATGGTGGAAGGTGTCATTCTGAAATCGCAACAGGGATCATCTGACTTCATCGTCTGTTTTCACCTTCTTCCTCTCAGATTCTTTCAATGGTGTCTTCATATGATTTATATCCCTTGAAGTTGGATTTCATATGCAACTTAAATCGTGTCCTTTGGATGCTTCTACGAAGAGATATGTTTGAACGATTGACAGAAGGCCATCATGAACTTCGTTTTCAAGCTCTATTCGTCTTCATTTAATCTCGTAGCCAATCCTAAAGCTCTTTTCTCACCAAATCTTCATTGTGAACCTCCCGGTGACCTCCAAAGCTCTCAATTGCCTCTCAAATGCTTCTCGAATCATCCCGTTTTCTCCTCAAGTGTCGGTGCCGGACTCTAAATTCCTGATTTTGACTCCAAACAACACAAAACTCGAACCAACGCCCGGTAAACATAACTTGAGCTAAAATTGAGACTTATGATACCTTTAAGCTAGGAAAACTATCAAAAGTCGATCTCAACACGCATCAAATGCGTGTCAAAATACGGACTTATCAAATTCTCCCACACTTAAGCCTCTGCTTGTCCTCAAGCAAACTGAACAACAGGACTTACGATAATCACCACACAGAATTAAGACAATTAGCATGCACACGTAGTTAAAGGGATATTCACAGAACAGAAAAGCTAAACCAAGAAAATTCTTTCCTAAACTACATCTTTGTACTCTGGCTAACTCAAATGATAAATTTATTCACGGCATACTTAAAGTAATGGCAGCAACCACTAATGAACTAGCTACTGATCGGAAGGACTTGTGAATGCGGTGGTGAATGGTGGATGGGAAAGAATAAAAGTCCCTTTCTTTGAGAGGTTTGGAACAACCTGACAAGGACTTAATGCATTCAGGAATTTCAGGGTTATTCTTTGGATCAAGGAATTCAGTAGGCCACAATTTAGGAACAATCATCTAAACATATGCATAGAGTAGACATGGTGTACAACTAAGCTAAACCGCCGTGGCACATTGGTTCTTTGACGTATACTTGAAGTACGCGAAAGACTAATGCTAATTTTGCAATAGCCTCCAAGTTCAATTACAAAAATTTAGCTTTCCTTGGCATGTTGGCACGAGAACGTCATTTCTTTCGAAAGATCCCCAAGTCTCATCTTATTGTGTAGAACACTTACGCTTTTTGACCGGGTCTCCCAATTTCTTTTTCGCAAGGTAAGAGGTCTAGTTCATTTAATTATTTTTTTCAATTTTCAGATTTTCACTAGACATTACCACATTCTAATCTCGACCTCACCCATGAAAATTAGCAATTAAAGTTCAATTAATCAAGGTGAATCCATGCCTACAATGCAATTCTCGAAAATATCAAATTCCTAAAAAATGACTGCTCTAACCCCACTTGGGGCATAGGAATAGTGCCAAAATTGGCTCCTACACAAATTCCCTAAACTTAGTAAATTAATCCCCTAGTTCCCTAAACAGCAAGACTTCGTCACTTATTCACGGGTAAGGAACCAGGCCATTTGGCTATGGAGCTCAATTAATTGGGTAAAGAACAAAATGGTCAGACTCAAAGTGGCTTCTCCTAAAGGACTTATTCAGGTCGGGTGGATGATTTGTGAAATGATTCAATGGGTGACTAATGCTTTCATCCTCTCAAAAACTAGGTTATAGTGCAAGCAATTTAAGCCTAGACACTTCAAAGATGTTCTAAAATCATAGTCAACATGCTAGACATCTCACAAAGACACAATTGAAGGAAAAAATTTCAAAAATTTTGACATGACTTTCCTATGAATATACAACTAACACCTACGTACGCATGCTAACTCTAGTAATCCCATGTGACAACTACTGCCCGAATGCCGAATTCACTCCCCCACACTTAAACTTTGGCATCGCCCTCGATGGTCAAACATGCACTATGCACAAGGGGTAAAGAGGAAAGATTCACGCGTGCTCAATCTCAACATTACAAATAGGCAATTATAAGAGTCGCAGAAACTTCCCTAAGGCGTTGGTCGGTGCAGAACTAAATTGAGTCAAGTGATCCTCAACACATCATCCCCAAAGCAAGACCCTGAGCTGCAAAACAAAACACACAAACAAAAACAGAAAACACCCCGGATTTTTTTTCTTTTTTTTCGGGGGTTTTCTTGAAAGTAAACAAACAAAGACAAAAGTGCAGAATTAAACTTGGGTTGCCTCCCAAGAAGCGCTATTTTTAATGTCGTTTGCCTGACGATACCTCATATGCTCTCAAATAACAAAGACTGCAGCGGGGCCTTAATCATCAACTTATCTAGCTTTCCCTCAACAAATGTCATTAGGTGGTGCAAATTCTTAAACTCTTGGAACCATGTAGGAATCATGTGGTCTTCATGAACATCATCAGCAAACAAGGGTAGAATGCCCCTCACATCCTTTGGTTCCAAATGCATCACAAACACATCCTTTCCTTGCTCAAATTTACCGTGGAAATTCAGAGCACCTATTTTTGACTCAATATCACTCTTCATGAAGGCATCCCAACTCTTATCGTCACCACTCTCATTAATATCTTCTCGTATGATGTTATCACTGTCCACACAAAAAGGAATATTATCATCAAGGAGTGAATCAAAGAAATCCAAATCTGAAACAACGTAAGAGCGGATTGGTGCATGTGTACAAGAGGGGTAATCTTGCTTGTGGAGTGGGACTTCTTCATTATGAACATCATCTACCTCGCCCCACTCTCTTTGAACGTGTGATCATCATTTCCCAACTCATCTTCAATACCCAAACCTACCTCAGTAGCACCATCATTATGACTTATCTGCTTCATGCCCTCATCAGGTGTTGAGACTAATGGTAAATCAAACGGCTCGGAAGTTTCCGTATGAAGATCACAGTGATTTGTGACTTCATCAGTTACAGCTTGTACCGTTTGAAACTTTTTCCTATATTCTTGGAAAAACATCTCGACACTACTATCTTCTTGTTCATCTTCATACATAGGTGGATCTTCAATAGTATCAGGAACTGTGTAATACATCATATTCCCACCTTTGCAGTCTGACTCAATGACATGATCATCCCTATTGGTCTCCTCAGGTTGGGCTTATGTGTCGCTAGGATGGGATCTCTCGAACTCCTCAGATAGGGCTTCTGCCAGCTGACTCATTTGGTTACTTAAATTCTGCATTATGGCTGAAGTGATCTACATGAATTGTATGAGCTTCTCCTCCAAGTTAGAAAGCCTCTCTAAATCTGCCTCCTCTTATTGATCCTGGGGCTCATTATTTGGCAAGGATGTGGGAACGACTCGAACATTTGTGCTCCTAATTTATGGGGAGGACGAAGTGGGGTATGCAGTTACCTAGTAAGGACGGTCATTTGGAGGAATGGGGCAAAGACATAAATGGCGACCTCCTCCACAGAAGGAACAAATGCTAT